AAAACTTACCCTGCAAAGCGCAAATTACCTTGCAAAGTGAACAGCCTCTTTGCCTTTAGTAAATCAACCCCCAATAATCAAAATTCTATATTGTTAAGATTACAGAGGCTTTCTGTTGTCTTTAAGACTCCAGACTGAACTAAATCTCCCGTATTGCTCATAATGCACTGGGAGTATGGTGATACAATTGGGCAGTAATGTGGGTGGTGTCAGGGGAATTATCTCTTCTCTGTCACTGTCAGGTGAACAGCCTCTTTGCCTTTAGTAAATCAACCCCCAATAATCAAAATTCTATATTGTTAAGATTACAGAGGCTTTCTGTTGTCTTTAACCCCCAAATCTTCCTTTGTTTTACTTTTAACTGAATTCTCTCAACCTTGAATAAAATTCAGATGATTGTGCATACTTTTGTTGGTCTCCTGTCTATACTTTCATTGTTGATACTGTGAATGGTGCCAAATTATCATTAGGACATTGGCAGATTTACAGTGGTTAGTAATGTAATTTACTCACATTTATTCCCGTACTTTCAGAAGCGTTTTAATACTCAACAATTTGGGGGAAATATGCAAAAACAAAGTTTTAACAAAAGATCTGAGAACTTTCTGTCCTTGGAACAAATGCTAAGTACCTGGCCTCAAGTTCAACTCTCAGTGATTTATTTTAAACACTTAATTGATTTTAAATCTGTTAATCTGCTGCATCTCTAGCATAGTGTATTGTCACCATAAGTTGGACCTATAATAATAGTACATTGAGGTCTCTCTTGTCAAAAGTACAATATATGGCATGCTGAATGAACCCATCAGTATTACATTGTGTTCTGTATAAAGATTTCAGATTATCCCTCTATGATAAAGTATCTTGGAATATTACCATTCCATCCTATCTTTTGCCAACATCGTGTTTGGGTATCTCCCAAATTAAGCTTTCAGGTTAAAAATTGTCATTTGGATTGTGTAATTTCTGCAGGAAATTACTTCAAGTTTTTAAGATAAAGAGATTGGTTTGTTCTGTATTTATGTGTAATAAAGCATATGGCAGCACATTTAAATCATTTTTTATTCAACATTGCATTTCATTCAGGTGACATGAAAATGTATTTCTGCAATGTAAAAAATGTGTACATATCTACCTATTGTATGTGACACATGCTAAATGACATACTACAGTATTCATCACTAAGCAAGCAGTTTCCACTTTATTTGAACCCTTTATTATTAGTAAATTATATGCTTTCAAGGAGGAGGACATCAGGCATAGGTATGTAAGTTTCTCTTTCAGTGATGAAAGTCTTAAAAGTTGATTTATAACCAATGCCGTTTGAATGACACTACTGCCTCTAGGAAATTCCTATTCTCCTCAGTGGTTATAAATCAACCACTTAGTGTACATCACCCCATGTGCCTACTTTGCTTATTCTTCTTCTGCTTTATTGACAGCCTCCCAAATGCACAGAGACATGGCAAAAATAGTGTTTTTCAAAAGAAAAAAAAAATGACCCTTGGCACCCACACTCTGTGCCCCTGGCTGAACTGGGCTCTTGAAATCTCATGAGAATGTGTTCTAGTTCATTGCAGAAAGGAATTCTTGTAGGATTTGTATTTACCCTGATCTCCTATGTTGCACAATGATGTCACCCGTGTCAGAAGCTGATGTCAAGTAAATTTTTTTTCAGTGAGGTAAGGTTTCAGTTCCATAAAAGGTACACTTTAAAATGAGGTTTAAAGGGAGTACTATTCTATAAATAAAGTGTGGTTCCTCTTTTTAAAGTACAAACCCCATTTTAAAGAAGAACTGCCACTAAGAGAAAAATCACCATGCAGTCTGCAATACCTAAGCAAAGCTTCATTTCCCAACTTTGTTAAGCCACTGGCAGGTTTTACTGCTGTCTCTGTAACCCATGGAAGGTCTATCTTCTCTGTTCTAATGACCATTGTGACTAGGACAGAGGATAATAGCAAATCCAAAATTTTACATTGGTCACTGTAACAGATGCAAAGGTGAAATCTTCCAATGGGGACATCTGTTCAAGTGACAGCTATCTAAAATTGGATGTTTACTTACATTAGACACATTACTTCTCGTTTCTTGGTTTCTGGTAAAGGAAGAGAAAGTAGTTCTCCTCAACGGGACCCAGCCTGCAAACAGAAAACGTGCTTGGATTTTAACTATTACTTATTCTAGCCAAGACTAAAAAAAAGTTTTGGTTGTAGATTTAAGATTTTGTTATATGAATTAATTCTGCTTTTTGGATTTAACTACATGTCCAGATGAATGTAGGTTAGCTATGAGTGCAAGTACAAGTGCAACATTGACATATGACTGTGGAAAAGTATTTTGTTATGCTGACAGGGGCAATAATGATTCTAAAGATGAAAATTCATGCAGTCTGCCTAATCATCTTTCACTGTTTTTTTACAAATGGGGATGAGATTCAGGTCGGACATGGGTTTGAGGTGGGCCCAATCCATTTGTAGTTTGGGGTCCAGGTGAAATAATGCAATTCACTTTTGCCTTTGAACCTTGATCATCTAGCCTAGTAGGGACAATAATGGGGCTTTGTTATGTGCCAGTCCCCTCACTATAAAAAGGTGGGGTAGTGGTTGATTTACTAAAGGCAAATTGGCACTTTGTGTGGAATTTTTACTTTGTGACGGAATTTTCCTTTGAAAGTATTTTTTCCTTGCACATGATTAGATAATGAAAGTCAGCAGGACTTCACCTCATTCAGTAAGCTAAGTGAAAATTCCCTTAAAAAAGAAAACGCTTTTGCAAATTGGACAGCCTACTTGCCTTTAGAAAATCAAAGCCATGATGTCAGTGTATAGGAAGCAGGAAACTTGATCAGGGTCACTGTACAGTACAGGGAAACTGTACTTTAATGCTGATTGCTAGGTCTTTGGGCACCCAACCTTTGCTGTTCTGAAGTCTTACAGGAGGTGAAAGTAATATGTGGGACTTATATTGGAATCTGGAAGCCCCATACTAATAAGGGTTCCCCCAGGATATCCACCTCTTCCCAGGAAAATTAGTACAGAGGTCCATTGGTACTCCTTACTCATTCCCATAAACAGTCAAAGTAGTATTGAACTCTCAAACCTTTTTTCAATAATTAATCCAGATCATTGACACACAATGAAATATACATTGTCCAGCAATTTTTTTTTATATTTTTGACCAAGCACTTACAGTCATCATATTTCTTCCTGTCCAGTACAAGATCACTAGAGACTGCACAGCCTCCAGCAACTGTTCATCTACTAGCTTGGAGGGAGGGAGGAAAAGGGGCCAGGGGGGAGGAGAGTAGCTTGATTTGCTGTGTCTGTGTGTTTGTGGAGACACACACAGCTCACTAGCACACACAGGAGACCAGATGATTCTGCGGAAAACTAAAGCTTTACAACATCAAGAAACAGCATCCATTGTAAGTGATTAAATCAGCATTGGAATAGCTTAAGAACTTTTTGACTTTAATATCATTTTTAAAGGAAATAAACACATACACACCTTGAAAAAGGTCTTTTAAATGAAATAAAACACAAACACCAAAAATGTTTTTATTAATTAAACTCCTAACTGCTGTTGTGGGCCAACAACAAAAAAACAGCATTTTTTTGTGACTGAGTTTTTAAAAATAATTAATCTAGATCAAGCAAATATACATTGTCCAGCAAAGCATTGTTTACATTTCTGCCCAAATACTTACAGTCATCATGTTTCTGAAGTGCTGCTTCCTAGTCTCTCAGCTCAGCTTCCCCCGAACCTACTGCTCAGTAGAAGATCACAAAGTACAGAGCAGACTCCAGCAACTGTTCATCTACTAGCCATGAGAAGGAAAGACAGGGGAGCAGGGAGGAGGGAAGTGTCTTGATTTGCTGTGCTGTGCATGTTTGTGGAGACACACACAGCTTACTAGCAAACACAAGGGTGACTGCATAACACTCTGCTTGAGAAAGGAGTCACTCTAAAACAGGAAGTCAGGACCAGTGCTCAGGGGACCAGCTGATTCTGTAGGAAACTAAAACTTGTATACATCAAGGAGCAGCATTCTGTCTGCTCCAGTTTTGATACATTCTCCCCAAAGTGTTTTTATTTTTATTTTTGGATAGATAATTTTGGATAGATAGCTTTGGGTATTTAAACCCTTGCCATGTATTTATTGCTACTCCTGTCCTTAATGGGAAGCCACTATACTATTTGATCTGCATACCATTGTTTCCAGTACAGAAAGTGATGGCTAAAAAATAGAGTTGTTACAGAACCAGAATGTAAAGGGAAATATTCCAAAAGCTGTTCCAGTGGCATGTGTCTGAGAGGTTATTTACCCTTGCTTGGGAGAGATTTATTTACTTTCTTTTGTGCCTCTGGGACGAATCTCCTAAAAAGTACACAGGCAGTAAAACAATTCTTCACTCTTTGCAAAACTAAAAAAAAAAAAATTCTTTACATACTTGGCAGGGCACTAGGGACAAAATTGAAGTGAAATAGTTTGATAAATATATGTAATTATAGCAGATTACATTGTATTGTGTGTATTCTGTGTAAATGTCATGTTTGCACTTTTGAATTTCCCGCCGGCCCCGCCCCCCGCTGTGACGCCTGAAAAAGAAACTGAAAGCCGAATGCCGGCATCGGCCGGGTGCACACAGCAGAGGACACCGCGGGCTCGCAGGGACAAGGTAAGTGACACTTTTGCGCAATCCCGAGTGTGGCTCGGGGTTTACCGTTCTGGGTACTGAAAATTAACCCAGAGCCACACTCGGGAATACCGCCAGGGAGGTTAATAGGTGAGATGGGAGATCTCAATCAAATATAAGTAATGGCTTACTTTGTAGAGTTCTTACTTACAATAACTATTTAGAAAGTCACAGTAGAAAATAAGTGACTTGGAATATACTCATTCTTATTTCTGGTACTTTCATGATCTCACATAATTGTTTAATTGTTTCCTATTTGGACCTGTGAAAAAAATTTCCTTTTTTTTTTTTTACCTGCAGGAAAAAATGAAGACGTTAACGAAAATGTTTAGCCGGATTCATTTATGGTTGTTGCCAGTAATTATTGTAACTTCAAGATTTCCACACAGCATATTATCCTGTCCTCACCCATGTGCCTGCTATGTTAACACTGAAGTCCATTGCACTTTTCGATCACTAGCAACAGTACCAACAAGGATACCAAAACATGTAGAAAGGATTAATTTGGGGTATGTATAAGCTTTATTTTCATTTTCATCTCTTCTACAATTTCTTCCAAAATTGTAATATACTTGTCAAAAAATTACTGATATAATCATAAAGTTGCCACAATTCGTGCCTCTTCACCTCCCTCGAGAAAGTTTCCCATATATTTATTGACCTAAAACAACACCCTGATTTCCCACTGCAGGGCGAAAAGTAGTCACATAGCTCATTTGTTTCTACTGTGGCTATACACAGGTGCATTAGATTTAAAGCTGAACTCCAGGATCTCCATAATAAACCTCCAAATCCTCCCTTACCCATGCTTTTTTAACTGTACCATAATTTTAGTATAAAAAGTTAAATCACAACAAAAAAGAACTGAAAAGCACCTATGATATCACAAGGCAGAATTCTACCTTAGTCCTGGACACAACTTTCGACATGACTCCATGCTCCAGACTGAACTAAATCTCCCATAATGCTCATAATGCACTGGGAGTATGGTGATACAATTGGGCAGTAATGTGGGTGGTGTCAGGGGAATTATCTCTTCTCCTGTCACTGTCAGGTGACAGGAGAAGAGATAATTCCCCTGACACCTTCCCCTTAGCTGCAAGCTGTGGTTACAGGCAGAGACCAGATTCACACCCACAAGACAAGGATTACATAGAAGTGTGATAGTTGCAAGCTCGAACTACAGTAGTTCTGTTCCACAACTGGAGAAGAGAAGAGAGTTGACAGCTATGACTGGCTGTGTACAAAGGGAAATCTGTTCCCTACATTTATTTTTACCCACAGTCTCCATGAGTTTGTGTGAGATACCAGCAGCATTGACATAGAAATCATGGTCAAACTCTGGTAAGGCAAAGCATTGATTACTGTTACATTTGTTCTACCCAGAGTTCAGCTTTAAAGCGAAGGGAAAGCCAAAACTTTTTTTGACGAGGTGTCTCCACTGAAGGCTTTTTCCTCACCTCTTGCTCTGGTGACAACTCTAACATTATGAATTTGCCCTCAATTTCTATCTCAGTGAAAATAGTCAGCAGCATCAATAGAAAGGGTGAAACCTCCCCAGCGGGAACAGGGAAGCAATGAAAACTTGACAGAAGTCCTAACCCATGCCTGCTCTATCTGTAACCTAAACAAATTACCTTTATGTACACTTTAAGATGTAGGTTTCAACTGCTGCCAGTAGATCAACTGGTCATGGAAAACTCAGGTTATATTAACCATGGAAAACTTTGTTTAGTGAAATTGGTAGCCACCAATGTGAACATTTGTTTGTTAACCTTTAAATGGCATTGCTTGTATGCATATTATAATAGAAGACTACAAAACATGTAGGTTTCTCACTAGAGATGAGCTCAGGTTCGGACCAAACCTGGTCTAAACCTGAGCTCCTCTGAAGTCGAGAGCAGCGGGGCAGTGCATTCTTCGCCCCACAGCTGCACATAAACAAAGGGGTGGGATTCTTGTGCTAATATCACTGGCCATATATGGCCACATGTCCATATTTGGTCAATGTAATTGACCAAATATAGCCATGTGGCCATTAAAGTCAATGACATCATTTCATTTTGCCCCTTTGCTTATGTGCGGTTGATTGGGCAGAAGCTAAAGGAGCTTCCTGCCATGTTCAAAGGGCTCCTTTTGTGTTTCATCTGTAGTTCACACAGATGGCCCATGGTACTTTTTCGGTTTACTGAATAAAGATTTTCTTGTCGTATAAAATGTAATTTCTAAACATGTAAATTGTAAATTTTAACAAATAACATTGTCATATGGGTTAAAATTAGAACGTTTGCATCAAAGTCATTTTTTGAAAAATTAGAGCTTAGCTTAGTGCTGATGGGTTTTAATAGCCACATAAAGAAAGAAGAAAAAAGCCACACTCCTTGGATCTACTATATATCAAATTTGTTGGTATCTTTACATCCGGTTACACTCATCATCCCCATCCTACAGCCAGCTGCCTCTAACGTGTTCCTACAAATGACCCCACATGTTAGAGGCGGCTGGCTGTAGAATGGGGATGATGAGTGGGCCTGGAATGTAAAGATACCAATATATGTGATATACAGGGGATCGAGGGAGTGCAGATTTTTGTTTTTTGGTTGTTTATGTGAAGTCGGAGCGCAAGCAAGCTCAGAGCATGCACCTTTGATGCTTCCAGGGAGCTGAACTAGTGCAGGAATTGGAGCAGTGATATTTATATTTGAAGATTACTAGTTTTTAGGGGTCCTTTCATTATTTTTCTAGACACATGAGATAAATCAGGACAAGTCAGGGCAATACAAAAAACATATGCAGTACATATCTGCATTAAATGCACATTTCCCTTTGCTTAGCCCTTCAATATCCTGCAAGTAGAAAAAAAAGTATCTTTTGATCTTCCTAAGTCCTCCTGTTGGCTGAAAACACAGTCCTTTTACGTAACCAAAATTACAAAGAGTGGTATCAGCTCTGCCCACTTGTCTTTTTCTGAACTACAGAGCACTTGCCCTCTTTTTATCTCCACAACATGGTTATAGTTCAAGGATATGAGCTAGGAAGAACTGATTAGACATCTTTGAGATAGCACAGGTAGAGAGCACAGGATACAGGACAGCTCTAAATATGTGATAGTATCAATAGGTATTTTTTCACTTCTTAGTCAGATTTAACAGACCAAAGGGGATCAAATAAGGGAAGTTTATTGTTAGCGTTTACCTACACTCAAATGTGAGTGTGTAGCAGCAGTGGTACAAACACCCCATCTTGAGCAGGAACTGTGTCCACTATTGGTGAGAACAGGGCTGGGAACTGTGGAAAGGAGATGTACAGACATTTACAAGAAACATTAAAAAAGACCACCACGCTCTACTTATAGAATATCAAATTTCAGTAAATTGATCCATTCAGAAATTGAATACTTCCTGTCTGAATGTAGCTTGGATTTACACTGGACTTTCCAATAACGAAAAGCTACATTTCTCACATTTATCATTGTTGCTTTCAGGTTTAACAGCATTCAATCCATACCTGAAAATTCATTTGCTGGGCTTTCAAAACTGGAGATGCTTTTGATTCATAGCAATGATGTGCAAAACATTCCCAATGGAGCTTTTAAAGACCTGAATTCTCTGCAGGTACTATGCTTAATTAACATTAAATGTCTGCACAAACTGCTTAAAAAAAATGTCACTTTAGTTCTAAAAGGACAATAAAGTTCACAAATAATCTGTTTATACAATGTTCGATATCTTCCAAATAGCTTGTTTTGGTGTGTTAATGAGGTAATGGGCTTGGTCAATATATATTTATCATTCCCTGTGTGTAGGTTGATCTTAAACAGAAATGAGCACTTAACCCTTGCAGTGTGGGGGTAGTAAACACTTGTAAAATAGGAGAAGTGAGTTTTACACTGTAGATATGATACACTGTACAGTCATATATTTATTTTTTAGTATCCAGTATGTCCCATGCTGCTGTTCATAAACTTTGAAAAAGAAAAAAAAAAGTCAAGGACAAAATGAGTCAAACAGACTGAAATAGAGTGAAAGGCAGACACATACATATATAGTCCAGTAGAATTTGCATTTTTGGTTTAACCATATGTGCTGTATTACTAGTTGTTTAACCGTATGTATATATCTCTACAGGTTTTCAAAATGAGCTACAACAAGCTGAAAGTGGTTACCAGTCATACATTTCATGGACTTTCTGGCCTAACTAGATTACATGTTGACCATAATAAGATTGAAACTATCCATCCTAACGCATTCAATGGTTTAACTGCATTAAGACTGCTTCATTTAGAAGGAAACCTACTTCACCAGCTTCATCCCAACACCTTCTGCACTTTCAGTTTTCTAGACTACTTCAGACAATCAACGTTAAAACATCTTTATATATCAGACAATATGCTTCAAACACTACCAGCTAGTATGATTAAAACAATGCCATTTCTGGAAAATCTGTACCTCCATGGGAACCCCTGGGCTTGTGACTGCCAGCTAAAGTGGTTACTTGAATGGGATGAACAATCAAATGGTAAGAGTTTTGACAATATTTATATTAAGTGCCTTCCTCAAACAAAACTCATACTTATTTTTCGGACTTTAAGAGCTATATGAAGTCTGCATGTGATTTTATTAGATTTGCCAGCAGACATAAAACTTTAATACATCAGGTCCTCTTCCCATCACATATAGCAGCTGTAGAGTTAAAAAAACAAAACTGTAGAATAAAAAAATAAATCAACACATATACGTCTATCCCCCAGCTTCAATACTGCAGGTGGTAACATGAGACTGCTTCCGGTGAGATTCCAGAGAATCCCTCTTTACCATCTTGTCTTGAATTGTATTGTAATTGTAATGTCTTCCTTATATTGTAAAGCGCTGTGCAAACGTTTGGCGCTATATAAATCCTGTATTATAAATAATAATAATAAAGTACCCCAAACCTTGTGAGAAGATGCTGAACCATAGGGCAACATTGTGTTGCCAGAATGAGGACATCCCTCTCGCCCTAGGCAGTGAGGGGCAGAAACTGGGGATAAATAATTTTTCCCGGTGGATTTTTTTTTCCTACTGTAAAGCTGCTCTCTGTTACGGGGGGGGGGGTCCCTAATATATTAGACAGACCTTGTATTTTTACTGCTAGGTCCGCTTTAGATATATGTCTTGAATAAAAGTGAGTTTTATGAGTACATGGATGACATTACATTTTGCTCCGTAATAATATATGTAAGTATGAAAGGGAGTATGAAATGTTTAAAACTTTCATTAGGTTTGTATTGCAGTGTTCCCACATCAGAGATTCCCTCTCACTTTCTGTCCCAGTGGCACAATGTGTGTGTCAAAAACTGAGACAAAAAGTAATAAAATCTCCCCCTTAAAAAAAGACAAAACATTTTGGCTAGGGTTGAGATTATTGTAATTATATATCATTCTAAGGTTATTTTAGTAAATGTTAGTACAATGTGAGGCAACTGGTTAAGATGAAAGTTGTAGTGCAAATGTAAACTCTAGTGCACATGTAAACTCTATTTCCTGTTTTTGGGAGGAAATAATTAACAAAAGTGATTGGCATTTTCAGCTTGTCATAGCTTCATAAGTAACAATTCCTAATTGAGTCACATAGTAATTCCCCATAGCTCACACTAAATTCTATGATACACCTAGGTTTATTTTATTACATTACTTTTAAGCTGTTTATGTCAGAAAGCTGATAGACTTTAAATTAGCAAGCTCTATATAAACGTTTGATGAAAACTATGCAGACTGTGACTTTGCGTCCCAATATGAAAAAGACAATTAAACACTGTTTTCATTAAATGCTGTAATTCTTTGTTGTGCTATATATAGCATGATGTAGAGCAGGTGCTTTTAAGTTCAAAGGATGAAGTTAACTAGATAATTATGTCTACATGTAGCTAGCATGGTTTAGTTGCTTTGAAGAATCTACGTCTTTGTATTGATGTATTGTTATTACTTATCCAGATGTAGAATATTACATTTGCTGTTTCATATCTCCATAGGTGTGTTAAAATGTAAGAAGGATAGATCATATGAAAATGGACAGCTGTGCCCAATGTGTTCTACTCCAAAACATCTCCAAAATCAAGAAATTCAGGGTTTAAAGGATATGCCCTGTTCGCGTCCTTTTATCTCCTCCACATTCAGGATAAACAACAGTGACACCTCCTCTGAAGATGATGATAATGATTTGCCATCATTAGAGATAAATAAAGGTTTTATTGGACATATTGTTTTAAATCTGACAGATGAACATGGGAATAACGTCAACTTGGATTGTCAGATGAAGGAAACAGAAGACTTCAGCAAAATTCAGTGGAACCAACTTCATCCAGAAGAGATTGATATCAACGCAACCTTTGCTGTGGATTTTGAATGCCCCATGACTCGGGATAACTATGAAAAATTATGGAAACTAATTGCTTATTATAGTGAGGTTCCTGTCAAACTGGAAAGGGAGCTGTTGTTTACAGATAGCTCCAAAGTTACTTATAGATATAAACAAAATCTAAACCATGATTCCTATTATTACACAGGCGTAAAGGCTGTCATATCTGCCGAGCCAGAGTGGGTAATGCAATCCATCGTCAAGCTTCAGCTGAATAGAAGACTGAGCAATGCTAAGAAAGTTACCCTCTCTTTTTCTACACAACTTTCACAATCACTTCACACAAAAGATATTCAATATCCAAAAAACAGTTGGGTTATGATAAACAGTAATGATCGGACCAAAACATCTTACAGTGTCATCAAAGGACAAGTTTGCCAATTAAACTGCAATGTGAAGTCTTCAGAAACCCCTACCTACAAATGGAGTCTGCCAGATGGGACAACAATAAAAGCTCCACATAATGACCCTAACAATAGATATTCCATAGGAATTAGCGGCCAGTTGGTAATCAAAGCAGCTGATTTTTCTGATTCTGGAATGTACCATTGTATCGCCCAAGTAAATCATGAGGTAGCCACTTTACCTATCAGAGTGGTTGTGCAGCCTCCAGCAAATGAGATCTCCGAGAGCAATGTTAAGGTAGTCGCCAAAACCATTGGTGAACCTATAACTTTACCTTGCAATGCCCATGCCAATCCGGATGCTGATGTTAACTGGATTTTACCAAACAATAATATTATTAATTCAGGGACAAATAAAACTGGTGCATACTTTTTAAATAATGGTTCCCTCTATATTTCAAATACAAAGCTTACAGATAGCGGTCTTTATAGATGTATTGCTATAAATCAGTATGGAGAAGACCATTACAGTGTTCAAGTAACAATACTGAAAAAGCTTCAGGAACAGCTGAAAAAAGTGACATTAATTAAAAAAAGGCCTATTGTAAAAGTATCAACAAAAGCAAAGTATGATCTAATAGATGATGATAGGGGTTCAGGAGAGAGAGACATTGAAGAGGAGAAAGATAAGTATTACAAAGTACAGGACAGGGTTAATAAGGGCAAAGATAAAGGTTCTTCTGTAGGAAGAGGCCAAGGCAAATTGAACAGAAAAGATCGAAAGAAAACTAACACATGGAAAAATACAGAAAAATATAAAGAGAGTAATGTGGCTGAAGGAAGAAGGAAATTTGAATCTAGGAAAAGAGTAATTGGAGGCAATAAGCAGATTGATCCTAAGCAATGGGCCAGCATTTTAGCCAAGGTCAGAGGGAGAAATGTTCTAAAAACCACAGAATTCCCCCTCCTCACCACCCCAAGAGCAACTACTGAACCAGCATTCACTGATGATGTTACATCACCATCTTCTCTCCCTATACCTTCATCCATAACAGAATCAGCAATTGTTGAAGAAGCATCAGCTGATGACGATGAATTACTATATATAACATCTTCGCCAAAAGTAACCATAAGGCAATATGATGACTTAACAACATCGCCAGCTGATACAACTGCAGCAGTGACTAAAGAAGAGTCATATGACTATAATGATATCTCCTTGGAGACAGAAAGTGACGAGTCTATGGCAACAGAACAACCTGATTCAGTGAGCACACTTGCCACATCAAGTTCTGATATCTCAACACTTGAAAATATTGATATAGAGGACACTATCTACTCAGTAGGTGAGGAGGACTTAAGACCTTTCACGGAAGAAGAAGATACAAATACACAGATATACGATACAGATGACCTTACCGGAACTGTCAGCAGTGAACAAGAAAACCCTATATATGATTTGTCTACTTTGGAGACTGAAACCTTTGTTACAGAGCAAAATGTGCCAATCCATGATATGGAAAATCATTTCATTGACATCACAACACCTTCCATTGATACAACAGAATTTAGTACATTTGCAAGGTCCACTGTATTGAAATCTACACAATTTACCCTTGAAGAACCCATAGTTCCTGAAAATGAGAAAGAAAATGAGATATATACCACCACACCAAGCCTTTCAGGAGAAATATCTAATGATAATATAAACCACTGGGAAGTAGATAAAGATATCTCTTCTCCATCTCCAACCACAACTAGAATTCCAGATAATGAACAAATTGTTTCTAAAGCCATAGACAATATTATACCTAAGTTTAGTTTTTCTATTCCTACCCTATCTTCTACAACTGCCAGCTACAATTTGGTACCTATATTTTCTGCTCCAGTCACTGAATATGTCAGAGAGGATTCTTTTGAGCCAACTGAAAAAGTTGTGGATACTAATGATATGCATGGATCAGAAAAATTTTCAGTGGAAACAGGGCAACAATTAGTGACCACCGCCCTTAATCCCCATACTCTTTCTCATAGTATTTCCAGTGATAGAAAACTGGTGACATCTCCTGTTGTAGAAACAACAACCATTGGAACAACACCCATATATAGGCAAATAACAACTACTACCTCCCAGTCTATAACACATGGCAACGTCCAGTATCCTCGAAGAAGAAACCATGGAAGACGAAAATTCAGACCAAATCGCTTTGGACACCGTCAGAATCAGATTGTTCCTACAGTGCCTTCTTATAGGGATGTAAATGTTATCACTCAGAAATCTTTTGTAATGGAATCTGAAGTCAAGACCACTAAACTGTTTAGTCACCCTCTAGATAATAGCATTCATCAGCCTGCTGAAATTACACAGCCAGCAGTTAAATTAACAACATCTAATCCAACAGTGCCCCAAATTTCAGCAAATGGTATGTCAAGACATATTCAATTTACTACTCCTGCAGCCGAAACACAAACATTTAAAACATTGGAATCACCACTAGTTGCACCTGTTACAATTATGGCAGAACAAGTATCAGATGCCACACCTAGCTCAAGACATGCACAAGAATATATAACAAAGTCAAGCAAAAATATAATAGCAATTGAAGCAGAACAGCCTTTTTCTTATACTACCACACCAAGTTACTCCATTACATACTCACCTCCATCATTGCCTGCAACAGATTCAGATACTTCAAAAGATGCTGATGTAGAAGTCTATATAGATGTAGATCAGCCAGTTGTAACAGAGTCATCACAAGTACCTGTAGAGAAACTACAAGTGACTACTCATGCTGTTCAGATTGAAAATGTATCAAAAGATTTAAATAATAGACAGAACAAGATTCTTGATAGGACCACAATGTTGCCAGTACAGGTCACACAGACAACTGACCACTTCATAAAATATTTTAACAATGCAGAAAAAGGACCTAAGCAGCTTCCTACCTCAACAGCAGTAAAAACAACACAAACAATGACAACCACTGTTAGTAAGGAAGAAAACGATCACAGAACATTGTTATTCCATTCAGGAAGTAAAGAAAAACTAGGCAAGCCAGTTGAGAATACAACACCTAATCCTGGAAGACAAACAAATGTGTTTGCTTTTACAAAAAAAGCCTTTTTCCCCACAACATACTTTCACCAAAGGTCCACAGATATGCAGTTTGTACCTACTCAACCATCATTTTCTAGGAAAACCATTGATCAGGACGCTGTAAATCAGTTTGCCTCAACGGAAACAACAAAACTTGTGCAATCAAATAACCCCTCAAAATTAAATGAACTAGATCCATATTCTTCCATCAAAAACAAAATATTTGTTCAGCCAAAGCAGGAAAACATTAAAGATATCCATACCACAAGATCAAATAACAGCCTTCTTTATAACACCAAATATCATCATAAACCCAGAGTAGTGAATAACCATCATCATGCAGTAGTTCCACCGTATTACAATCCTTCAAGAGCTACTATAAGACCACCTTTAATTGGAACTCATGGACCTCTTCGCTACTTTATTACTAATCAGCCTCCTTCAGTAACAAATAAACCAGAAATAACAGCTTACACAGCTCAAGAAAGAAAAACCTATACACCATTTATTTCAACCACCCTGCCAGCTACAACAACTACAACAGTGATTCCATTATTCAGGCCAAGGCCAGCAACACCAAATAAATATAACCAAGGACAACGAATAACACCGTATTACAGGCCATTTGGTAATAATGTTATTACTAATGGTAAAGGCACCGCAATACGATTTCCTTATCAAGTAAATCCATACTACATAAACCCAAGAAACCCTTATCGTTTTAATAGAACAAGTCATTTTCAGTTTACTGTGACATCCAAACCAAATATTCCATCATTTGTAGTCCCAGACAATGTAACGCCTAGAACTTTTACTACAACATTGATCACAACACCAATAACTACCACATCCCCTGCTCCAGCTGTGACCAAAGTCTTAACAACATCAACAACGTTAGCTGTGACAACTTCACCTTATATTGCACAAACCCGAATGCCACAGATTAGCCATACATTACATCCGTACTGGTATTATATTAATGTTAATCAAAGACCTCGATTTACAATTGGTAAAACAGAAGCAACACCTCAACCTCCTGTTATCGCCAGAGTCCAAGAAAGTAAACCAAGTATTATAACCACTGGCCTACAGTTTGTATCTCTGCCATATGAAATTAATGCTATTTTTGCATGTGAAACTACTGGTGAGCCTAAGCCCGTCATTACATGGACAAAACTTGCCACAGGTAATTTGTCAAGTTTTACAGTTTCTTCTTGTAAAGATAAATGTTTTATCAAAAATACAGGTGCATTTTATTTGGTGCAAAGAAACAACTCTGTGACTAAGCTAAGACCCCTGCTATCGGATACAAAGTGCAGGCACTGTCTTTGTCCTTCAACTTCCTGTCACTATACCCAAATGCTGCACTGTTCTAACAGATACAGCTCTGACACTTCTCTGTAGTATCAAAACTTACCTGGCTCTATCTGCCTTCTGCACATTTCTCTTGGCCAGTGAGTCAGCCCATAATAGTGATGGGGGAAAAAGTAAGGGAGCAGGCAAGCTTTAATGCTATCAGAGAATGTCAGAGCTTTACCATGTAGATCAACCTGTTGTTTGGGCTTAGCAGTAGAGGCTGTTACATGTATGTGCACACACCTTTGGGTCACTCTACGTTATACCTCATGCCAGTTTTGTCTGCTTACAGAAAGAGTTGCATTAGGTCTTGAGGTCAACAGCTTGGGGATGGTACTATTTGAGTACTGAGAACAAATATACATTCTGCAGCTGTCCTAACCACCTCTGTTGTCCTTACCACTCTAATAGGCAAGAAATAAGTATCAGGACAAGGGGACTGTAGTAAGGACATTGGGGCCATGCTTTGAGGGACAGCTTGTACCAAAGGTACTGTTGCTCTTTAATGTTTACCAACCTGCTGCATAGATTCTGATGATTCATTGGGGTTGATTTACTAAAGGCAAATAGGCTGTTGACTTTGCAAAGGAATTTGCACAAACATTACTTAGCTAAATTAATGTGGTCAAACTTCACTTTGCAATGAATATGGAAAATTAAAAAAATATATTTTTTTGCTTGCACATAATTGGATGATGCAAATCAGCAGAGCTTTACCTAATTCACTAAACTAAGAGAAAAATCCCTTGCAAAGTATACCATTTATTTGCCTTTAGTAAATCAACTCCATTGCCTACTAAGCTAAAGACAGAGGGCTGACATAAAAATTGGTTTGCTGTACTAGGGGAAATGTGTTAACTGCCTGGTTGGGCAGTGTGGCTGACTTGCGTACAACACAAGACTGGCTGCACAGTTACACATCCCACTAACGGCTAACATTAACTATATGTATTAAACTGTGCCTTTAGCTATTTGCATTGTCTTTTTCAGGAGCATTCTGTACCCTACATGTGAGGAGTTACATCAAATATCAAATTTCTTGCATTCAAAAATGATGCTGCTTCACTGATAGATTAAGCAAACTCATTTTCAAAATGGCTACTGTTTATTTTGTTTGTTGTGATTTTACATATTGTAATTTTTTCTGCTTGTGATTTAAATAGGTGCAGTCATGACGTCAAGCACCAGAATACAGCGATTTGAAGTCTTGGATAATGGTACTTTGCATATCCAGAACCTTCAGCTACAGGACCGTGGACAGTATATGTGTACAGCACAGAACAAGCATGGCATTGACAAGATGACTGTTACTTTGGCTGTCATTGCTCAGCAACCCAAAATGTTGTCATCTCGATACAAGGATATTTTAATTTATCTTGGAGATACAATCATAATGGACTGTAATTCCACTGGAATACCGACTCCTCAAATTTCTTGGATATTGCCTGATCGGAGAATAGTACGGACAGTTTCCTTAGCAGAGTCTCATATCATGCTTTTACCTAATGGAAGCTTATCTATTAAAGAGGTTACTTTCCCAGACCGAGGAAGCTACAAATGTGTTGCAAGCAATGTGGCAGGAGCTGACAGTTTGACTGTTAAGCTTCAAGTATCACCCTTGCCTCCCTTAATTCAACAGGAAAAAGTGGAAAATATTTCTCTGCCTCAGGGTCACAGCATATTTATCCACTGCTCAGCGAAAGGTGCTCCTCCACCTACTATTCGATGGGTGCTTTCAGATGGAACCCAGGTTAGGCCATCCCAGTTTGCAAATGGAAACTTGTTTGTTTTCCCTAATGGAACACTCTACATAAGAAATAGCTCACCAAAAGACATTGGGAAATATGAGTGCATAGCTGCAAATGTTGTGGGTGCTACCAGGAGAATAGTACATTTAGATGTAAATAAATATCCATTAAATGCTAAAATTACTGCAAGCTCTCCCCAGAAAACAGATGTGTCTTATGGTGGAAACCTACGCTTAGACTGCAGTGCAGCAGGAGATCCTTGGCCAAGAATAATGTGGAGACTTCCATCTAAACGTCTGGTAGATTCTTTTTTCAGGTGGGTTGATTCTCAGTAACATGTTCTATGTTATTTCACAGACCTTGATATATTTATAGAGATAAAAGTACAGCAAATCAAGTACTTTAAATGCTTACTTTTTTTTCCTTTACATAAACAACTTTTCTTTTATATGCAATGTGTCTTTAAACTTGCTAGCAAATTGTATGCCATCAGGAAGAGTCAATTCCCTAGCATAGCTCCCTCACTCCTGCCATTTCATAGTCTTCACATCTACGGGGAGTCTCCAATTACTGCCTGTGCTGGCCTATTTCTCCCTTTACCTCCATGCATAACATTTTATGTAGTTGTTGGGGTAGTGACACTGGAGTGACAGCTCTGAATCTGCTGGGACCACTGACATACAAGAAGCTGGCTACCAGCAGTAGTCTCAGGGCTTTTAGATGTCTACCCAAGGGAGGCTTTTATGGGTAAATGCCATGCCTAAAATACACTAAATGCATGTATAATATCATGTAAAGATTGTTGTTGAAATTACATATTTTAAGTCTCTTTTAATGGGGTAGGGCAATTAAATTTGGTTAAACAGTATACATGTCAATATTATAGGAAATAAAGAAATACAGACTGATTAAGTTTGCACATCTACACATACAGTGGTCAGACATTAGCAAGGTACAGAAATGACAACTGCTGCTACCACATTTTGGTCCAAAAACTACCAAACAAGGTGGGAAAGATGTTGCAACATGGTAAAAACAGTGTGATTTAGTCCTAATTGGGATGTTAAAACAGATTCGTTTCACAACCAAAATTTGTTCTGGTAACTACATTTTTTACAACTCAATGGTGGGAAAGAATCAGAATTTTGAATTGAGAAAGCTGATTGGATGACCAGTAAAATGTCTTCAAGAAAAATACAGCAAGTCCAGTTGCTTTGACTTATTTTTTTTACAGATATTTGATATAGGGGTCTGTGGTTATGTGAGTAATAGCATGATTGTAAATCATCTCATATCATTTCTACACATTGTATACAACAAATGTCTTTTTCAACATATGTGAAAAATAGAATGCATGCTTTTCAACTCCTCTATTTCCTCTAGAAAGGGTGAACAATGGGGAATTGATTATTGCTAATAAAAGTAAACCTGTGCTGAGAGAAGTACATAGACCCCACTGTTGACCTCTCTTTCTAAAAATGCTTGTTGTCTGGATGTCAAACTGTTCCAGTCACTTTAATACAATCTGAATCACTTACCTAAAATAAGTGCACATTTCAGTAGTTCTGATTAAACTCTGATCTTATATGTTTAATGCTTGTTTAGATAGGATTGAAGCCCATGGCAGTTGCTTAACTAATATTTTCATAAAAGCTGACAGCCTCTTGTTTTCTTTACAGTGTATGTAAAGCCAAAACTTTGTTTTATGTCCTTATTAGAGTAGGACAGGGTACCCCTTACCCCTATCATGTCCTGCTAGGAAGATTTCCCTTAATTTCCTGTTCCAGAGAAGCAACAGAAAAATTACCATCTTAGACAGTTGTAAATGGAAATGTGGCCCCACTGAAAAATTTCTCCTCACGTCGTTTGGTAACAACTCAAGAGTTTGGGATTTTTCCCCACTTTCTGTGTCCAGGATAAATAGAAAAGGTAAATCTTTGCAGCATGGACACGGACAGCAATACAAACTTGACAGAGGGTCTAACCTCCCGTAGATAGACAGATAGGTAGATAAACGGTACTAACCAAAATGGTAATACTAATACAAATTAATTTTAAAAAACCCTTAGGTTTATTAAAAATAGACATTATATAGAAATAACAGAAATGAGAATTCCCAAAGTATAGATAACATAGACATAACATATACAGGATAGATAGACTAAATACAAAATTATGGAAGGTGAAATTAATTTTAGGGGTGAATAAGAGTTGCAGACAAATCAAGAAAACCTTGTAGGATGGCTCATGCATGGCCAGGTAGGCCAATTTGGATCATTCTCTAATTTTATCACATGTGTTGACCGCATACAAACGGAATATTTCAGCCTTACCATAACGCTGCTTTTTATTGTTTACCACCTTTTTATGGATTAGCATAACCATTTTCTTTGTTGTTGCTTTTTTGTAGTTTTGACTCCAGAATCAAAACTTTCGCAAATGGAACTCTCATCATCTACTCTGTGACTGAAAAAGATGCCGGAGATTATTTGTGCATGGCAAGGAACAAGCTTGGCGATGACTATATGGTGCTTAAAGTAAATGTCATGATGAAGCCTGCCAAGATTCAGTTTAAAAATGAGGTTGACCACAAAGTCACATATGGAGGAGATCTAAAGGTGGATTGTGTTGCTACGGGTGTTCCAAATCCAGAGATTTCATGGAGTCTTCCAGATGGAAGTATGATTAATAATGATATGCAATCAGATGACAGTGGGACAAGAACACGAAGATACGTTGTATTTCATAATGGAACCTTGTACTTCAATGAAGTTGGAATGAAAGAGGAAGGTGACTATACATGCTATGCTGTGAACCAAGTTGGAAAAGATGAGATGAGGGTGAGTGTTAAAATAGTGGCGGAAAAACCAACTATTAAGAACAAAACTTATTCCATTGTTAACGTGCCATATGGAGATGTTATCACTGTTTCATGTGAAGCCAAAGGAGAGCCTGTTCCAAAAATAACATGGCTCTCCCCAGCCAGTCGACCCATACCTACATCATCAGACAAGTATCTTATTTACCAAGATGGTACTCTTTTAATCCAGAAAGCTCAACGATCTGATAGTGGAAACTATACGTGTCTAGCACAGAATAATGGTGGGGAGGATAAAAAGGTAGTGCAAATTCAGGTAAATGTCCTCCCTCCCAAAATCAATGGATATTCTGACAACATTTTGACAGTTAAAGAATCTGCAATGAAAGATACTCGCTTGCTCATAGACTGCAAAGCTGAAGGAATTCCGACACCCCGTGTCATGTGGGCTTTTCCTGAAGGAGTAATCCTTCCTGCTCCTTACTATGGAAATAGAATTACCGTCCATCGGAATGGAACCCTTGACATTAAAGTTCTTAGGAAAACTGATTCAGTGCAGTTGGTATGTATGGCAAGGAATGAAGGAGGGGAGGCAAAATTAGTAGCACAACTGACAGTCACTGAACCAGCAGTAAAACCTCAATTTACCAGTGACAATGAAAATATTGTTGTGTCTGAGGGTCAGGTTGGTACGCTTAATTGCTCAGCTGTAGGGATACCACAGCCTCATCTTATATGGATTCTCCCTAACGGAACAGAGATTAACAGTGGTAGTCACTTCCACAAACTGTTTCACAAGCAGGATGGCACATTGCACATTAGCTCTGTAGCATTTGCTGATGGAGGAACCTACCGTTGTAGAGCTGTAAACATAGCTGGATCCACAGACAAACTGGTCACTTTGCAGATTGGACGAAAACCACAAATGAGTAGCAATTATAATAACCTAGTAAGCATAATCAATGGAGAGACCTTACAGCTTCACTGCACTACACAGGGAGAACCAAGGCCTCATATTTCTTGGACACTTCCAAATGGAATGGTTATTGATGGGCCTCAGGTTAAAGGCCGCATATCTCTGTTGCAAAATGGAACCCTTATTGTAAAAGACACTTCAGTCTATGACAGGGGAAGTTACCAATGCAAAGCAACAACACAGTATGGTTCATCTACAATGAGTGTTCCTGTCATTGTGATAGCATATCCTCCTCGTATAACGACCAGTCCTGCACCGGTGATATATTCAAGACCAGGAAGCTCCATTCAGCTAAATTGCATGTCAATTGGAATACCAAAAGCTGAGATTACATGGGAGCTTCCAGATAAATCTCAGTTAACTGCAGGAGCACAGTCCCGCTTGTACGGAAACAAATTTCTTCATCCTCAGGGGACTTTAGTTATTCAGCACTCTTCAAAGAGAGATACAGGTTATTACAAATGCACAGCAAAAAATATACTAGGCAGTGACACAAAATCCACATATATACATGTATATTAAGATACATAAAAGCAATTGTACAGGTAAAATGCCCGTGACTGCCATACAAGTGCAAAGTATACTGTATCATTGTTTCCAATAGACAACCTCCAACTAATCACATCTGACATCTAAGTATACTCTACATTCAGTAAACCATACTATCTTTTGAAACAAGAATTATAAACTAACCAAAGCAAAGATGTAGATGTATGATAGATTGAAAGGTTATAGTTTAAATACATAGTTTTTCTTCCTCTTCTGGTATTTCATCTGTGTTGAATTTCTATTCACATTTCAGAGACTGTATCTTATTGATGCGTGTGGATTGGTCTCTGTCAAATTCTTTTTCAAACCTATATGCCAGTTTAACTATCATTTGAAGAAATATTCCACTCTGGATCTCTTTCCAGCAGCAAAATCCTTGGCTCAATCAGTTACCACCATTTGCTTGCACTTTAAATATAGGGAATGAAGTTGCCCCTTTATTTTCTTCAACAAATGTTACTTTTAAGATTACCTCCACTTTAAAAGACGAAAAGAGAATTTGTGGAGTGGTTTTGTAGTGTATAAACAATACTTACCTCCTTATTTTTGAATGCCCAATTAGTTGACTGTAAATTGATATCTACTTCTGGGACTTTTGACTTGTCCCTTTACCTAACAAGGTGCTAAAAAGTGCTCCACAGATTTGTGTGGGGATGTCATTGAAGGATGTAAGTCCAATTTGTTTCATAATACACAAACAGCTGATTTGGGATCAGAAGCGAAGGACTGCATGGGGTTTACATATACTGCTCAACCCAAACACATAATCTCTTGATTATTTCCATTCTAAAGTAGAGTTACCCTATTAGGGACCATTTTGGTCAGAAGAAAGTACTTGGCAAAGTAGTAGTACCTTCCTCAAGTAGAATTACAGCAAAAATGTATGAGTTCTGTTATAAATGCATTTACCAGAAGATCTTGGAAAGGCTAGATTAAATTAAATGACAACAAAATGTGTTTGTAATAATTTATTCTTTTTAGCTTCTATCCAGTTCATATTCATGTGCCTGATGGGTGGGTGCGTAGTACATAGTGTTCAATAGAACCTTGTCAGTACTACCCACTGAGATCTGTCTCAGGAGTGACAAGCGGAGCTCAGCACCAACAAGGAGGATAGAAAATCTCCATTGTGTACAATCCCTCTGTGTGATGTTTGTCTTAACATTAATATTTCGGAATGATACAGTATCACATTGACTTAATCTGCACCTTACTACCAAAGAAGTATTAATATTATTCACATTCTACAGTGATATGTGTTCTACTCTTTGAAAATGCTCTGAAATGCCCTATTCTAGAAAGGAAAATTATCTCCAAATACAAGGTGCTTCTAATGAACAGCACAGTATAGTATGGACAGTTCAATGCCATTATTGTGGTAAACCAATGTTTTCATACAGAAGCAGTTTGCATTTTTGCTATAGTTTTTCCTCTACTGAATTTTATAAGTGCATCTGTATGCTGGATAACTAATGTTGCATCTTGTAAAAAGCTAGCCCATTCAGTTCAAAAATGGGCTTTTATGAACTTGTTAACTAGGTTCACCTTTCATGCTTTTGCATATGTTCTATATTAATAATGTAACCATGAGACACAAATAAGTACAATACATGTCTAATTTTTTATAAATTATTGGTCTTTAAAAGACTTTGCTGCAGAACTGTGTTTATAATATTATTGATCATTGTACTGTACATTTTATAATAAATATTTGTTTTCCAAACAATTTGGTGTATGTTGCGGCATGTTCTTTAGGAAATGTGAATTTGTTTTTGACTCACTTTTAAAGTGCATGCAAAGCCCAAACGTTGTTTTTTCATTTTGGATAAAGTTTTTTTCTGCTGTCCATGTCCCAACAGAGACATTTGCCTTCCTGTCCCAAAGGCATACAGCACAAGATCTCTCCAAAATGATAAGACAGCTTTTGGAAAGTTTCCTCTCTATGTTGTTGAGACTGCTAAACCATTTTGGTTTACCATCACTTTCTCTACAAGAACCAATAAAGAGGGAATTAGAGAGGACTAATAGAGAGGTAAACCTCCTTGGTAGGGACACAGACAGCATGTGAAGCCTGCTGGAGGATCTAACCCTTCCGCAATTTATCCAAAACTAAAAAAAAGTTTGGGCTTTAGGGAAACCTGTCTTGAGAGACATATATTGGTGGTGAGAGATTACTTCCTTCTGAAAGTGCAAAATCTCTGGTTGTTATGCTGACTCAAGCTTTAAAGCTTTCCAAGTTTTTGACCTGTAAGTATGCAGATCAGGAAAAGCAGAAAAGCCCTAATGTTTCACACAACAGATTTCCTTAAAAAGGTTAAGGAATGGTTTTAAACTTTGCAAGGATACCTGAGAGGCATCATTCAAGTTCATATGGTCAACTGAAAGCTCACCACACACAATACAATCTGAATGGACAATCTCCTTTAGCTCTATCAACAACTATATATTGCAGGGGCCTCCTGACTGGATACATATTCATTGGATAGATTAGGGAGGTGCTCATATTACATAGATTTGCTAAATCTAAAGTTGATTGTACAAAGATTGTATGGTTAGATTGTAATGTGCTTTGAGAGTTTAAGGCTTAGTTAGAATAACCTATAGGCTTATATTGAATGCCATGTTAGGTAAGGAAAAGTCTGTGAGGAGGCTGTCATCATTGTCACACAATAGCAAAGGAAATGGCAGCTGCATGAATCAATTTATAACTAGAAAGCTAGTCCACACACAACACCTATTTAAACTGTTACATCCATTTAAAAATACATGTAAATCCAGACTGCCCCACCAAGGTAACTCTGCAAAGTACAAGAAGGATGGGGCTGCCTCCAAGAAAGCCTGCTCCCAATTTATGCAGCACATATGTCCCAAATCAGGAGCTCAAATAATTTTAAGTTAGGAACTACACTGTGCAGAGATGTCTTGACATTGCAGCATAGTATTTAGATAGCACAGTCCTGTAATAAGTACATACAAAAACATTCCCCTTGATTCCCCTCTGTTTAATAAGTACTATGCACCTTAATCACAGCAGTATGTTGCAAGTCAAAGATACATATTTTCTTCATTTACCATATGTTATTCTTGAAAAGACGATTTATTAAATCCTACTCTTTGAAAATCCTGAAATATGAGCTGTTGTAATAAAGTTCACAATCTTTTATGAGTGATTTATCAAAAACATGTTCTATATTTTAAAAGGAGCATATGAAATAAAGTGCCAAAAACAGATATTCACACAGATATGTATTACATTTTTTATTTCTTATGAATGACAAATTAATCCACTGTAATAGATTTAATGTATGCAAAACAAAATCATATGCCTTAGAACCTAAGGTGTATCTCTAACCATTTTTGTGGACAAAATAGCAAGAAGGTTAAACTTACTGTTAGTGATAATTTATTTCTGTGTCCATTTGTCTTCCCTTACTGTCCTGTTAACAATGTTCCTACTGTGTTAGTTAGGAGGGTGCATTTAAGCAGTTCAACTCTAACACCTGTATCCCCACTATAGACCAGATCATTTTTACATTGCTGCTATGGGCCTGTTTATTTGGAAATAGCTTTGTCATTACTTAAGATAACAAAGTAATACATACTGTACGTCAGATTTACATAACAAACAATACTTTTATTTTTATGCAATCCATTTACTGTAGTTAAAAGTATACTTTTTACTTTTTATTTCATACTTTGTCCTTGTGACATATTGTACTCTCAGCTTCACTCAGCACAGCGATTTCCAAGCTTGCAGGATACAAATCTAAGCACCAGCAGTCTGAGAGTGAACATCACTGGGGCAGGTAAACTCTGATGTTAACCATTTACACACACAATTGGTAGATACCACCAGATGTATTAAAGCAATTAAAGGAAACATGCACCATTCACAGAATCTGCTGTAGCATTTCTGACACTTAAAGACATAGTCCACCTTTTAAAAAAAAATTATAAATGACCTCACATTGAATTTTTTTTACATGTGTTCATCTTTTGCTTTCAAGCCTGCAGAGCATTGCAACCGTGATCAGTGCATTGAGGGTGCAATACATAGGCTTCTGGATGTTTAGATCTAATCCCCTGGCTCGTACATAGGTAAGGACCTACTGTTATGTGGCTGGAGGAAGTAAACAGTGGACTACAAGTGCGGTGATGCAGTGGCGTAACAACCGGGGGTGCAGCAGGGGCGCGGGCACCGGGCGAAAAGTGAAGGGGGGGCGCCAGCCGAAAATGGCACTTTCGGCTAAATGCCGAAAGTGACATTTTCCTGCCGTTTTGTCGGCGCGGCCGTGATTCCTTTCATCCCCGCTGGGACACAGAGCAGTGCCCAGCAGGGATGAAAGGAATCAGAGAGAAAATGACAGCCGGCCGAGCGCTGCGGGACGAGCGCTGTGAGCGGCCGGTGTCTTTCCTCCCACACCGCTCGGCCGCCTATCACAGTGCAGCAGAGCGGTGTGGGGGCGGAGACAGCCAGCGCTGTCACAGGAGGCTGGGCTCTCCTCTTGCAGCCTCCTATGACAGTGTGTGTCAGAGAGGAGAACGGGTACAAGCACTCAGTGATCAGTGATCGCTGAGTGTTTGTACATAATTGAGGACCTGGTATGTATACTATATCCTCAATTATGAATGAATGGGAGTGATCTACATCTCCTCCTGTTCATTCATAATTGTAGTTATAGTAAACATACCATGTTATCAATGAACAGGAACACTCATAAAGGATTCCTGTTCATTGATAACAGGGGACACAGAAAAAGAGATTGAGGACTCTGTGTCCTCAATCTCTTTTTCTATTTTTAAAGGGAAATATCAGGGGTCTGTTTAGACCCCCAATATTTCCCCGAAGCCCCTAAAAGTAAAGTAAAAAATAAAAATATTGAATAAAAAATTAATTAATAAATAAAAATTAATTTAAAAAAATGAAAAAGTTTCTAAAAAAATAAAATATTAAAATTTGAAAAATTAAAAGAAAAACATGTGTGTGTGTGTGTGTGTGGGGGGAGGGGGGGGGGAGAGGGGAGGTGCAGGGGACAGTTCCAGTGGTAGTTTATATAATGGGGGGGCGAAAAAAACATTTCTGCCCCGGGCGCCCAGAACTCTGGTTACGCCACTGCGGTGATGTCACCTCATTTGTGGCCAATAAACATGTACAAAATCCTCTGTCACAGAGGCAGATGGGACTTGTGGTCTTTCCATGTGTCAGTGTGGATGAAGTCACGCACAGTCTCGCCAAATCTAAACACATACGGAAGACTGCAGGAGAAGCACCCAGCAATTTATCCAAGTGGGGGGTTCAGGA